TACGACCAAAAGCAGTAGCGCTATGTTCGTGAGACCCTGATCTTGGATGACGTTGTAACTGCTTCTCTCTCAAGGCTGCCAAAATCAGTAAGCTGCAAAAGGTGTGGCCTAAGGATAATGAAGGTTGCGCTGAAAAAGCAATCACGAGGTGGATGTTCGGATTTTTGGAGCACCCGCCGTGTGTCTTGGATTGCGACGCGCAACCTCACTAATGGCGTCGGTTTACTTTGAAGTCACTGTCTGCCAACACGGTCACTGGGACCGTCACCGAAGTGGCGGGTTTCGGTGTGGCTCTCTCCCATCGCTGCACTCTACGACCGACGGTTTCGTCTTTGTTTAGACTCATCAGGTAAAGATAGCCGAGCTTGGAGTGGAATTTGGCGCATAGTGCTTGGCGGCTATTGCCACGATCACTAGGCCATTAAGCTCCGTGAGCAGTATTCGATACAGCGGTTAGAAGTAGTACAATCACGAGGTGCTTAGACTGTTGGAATGTTGGCAGTCATTTCGGAACCGACTGTTAAAACAGCTACGTTTCACAAGTCGAGCAACATTATCGCCCGATTTAAATTGCCACCTCAGAAGGATTATGCAGTGGGGACCATATTCGAACTTTACACTGGTTGCAGGTCCGAAAATATCTATATTTCTCTGAAATCCCGTGGCCACATTTCATGCAGTGTGCAAAACGAGTTACCATAGGGGTGGAGTACAATGCCACAGAACCCAACTTTAATCCACCCACCGACAATGCCGCTAAAAACGGCTAGCGGCCAACCACACGACGGTCGGCACAATCTCTTAACCGAACCACATGTTTTTCGGTTCGCTGCTGCATGTTTATCAACGCCGAAGGCGTCAGCACAATTGCCGAGCTTCGACTGCGTCAGTCAACTAAACGCTTGGGATCTTATCCACATAATCGGGATGTGGTCGCACTCGGAGGTTACGGATGCCTAGATCACAGTTCAAAGAATGTCACTGCTCCGAAACCATCGTCCCAGCAGAGGTGTTGTGGTTCTATACTATCGCAACTACTTACACTGCGAACCACTGGATGATTTGGAGACGCGGGTCACCGATTCGATTGGGTGTCGTTTGCCTCTAAGTTACCACGGCAACTGCTTGGTGGCAGTCATTTATTGCCCCCATTGTCCACTCCAGTGATGGATTCCCGCCTACTTCCGGGATTAACAAAAAGCTTACTTCCAACTTACAGCAATGTTCTCATCGCAGGTGATTTTAACATACACGACCCGGACACCTTGGCATGTCCCAGCGAAACCTTCAAGGCCGACCTTTTGCACGTATTCCACTGTGCTTTCACATCACCTCATCTACCAAGTACAGAGCTAATAACAAACTATCGATGCTAGGGCTAGTACAGTCGAACCCGCGTTATTGCCCACACGGTTTATAGCCCACCTCGCTTTATTGCCCAGTTTTACAAAATACAAATTCTTTTCTCATAAATATGCTAAATTTTCACCGTCTAATTGCCGGGGCCGTGCCACTGCTTAAGTGCCCAGTTGCGTGGGCTGTGCTCTTGGCGCTTTGTCAATTTTACGCCCTCACTCTATTATTATGACTAGCCCATAGCTAGCCAGTCCGATCGAGTCATGAACAACAAAGATGTCGGCGACGTTACTGACAGATCAGAAGATGTTAAATGCGTCCTTCAATACACGATCAAGCTAACTGTACAGACGGCTGTGGGCGAACCCACAGGCCTATTCAAAACACGAGAACTGATCAAAGTTGGGTAATCATTACGCTCCACATCTATCAATGCTCTATTGGTTACACACAAGTATGGGCAGTAACAGCAAGCATTTGTCCTTAACAGAAAGGCTGGACATTTTGAACAAAATTAAAACTTATCCACCAGCAGCTTCGCAGGCCAAGTTATTTCGTGATTTACACCTTTCTCATCGCACCCTAGCCAGATTGGATTGTCAGCGAATAGGAATTTTGGCGAAATTTGTCACATGGCACTGCAAACTTTCAGAAAAGGAAGCGATGTGGAAAGGATGAGGAAGTAGAAACCGTATTGAAAGACTGGACGCTAGCGGTTCGTGGGCACAATCATGCAGTTACTGACCCACTTCTGAAGAAAAGGCAGTAGGATTCGGGTAAAGACGTGGAAAACGTTTGCTGCCACAGAAGCATGGTTACAAAGATAGGAGAATAGAAATCAACTTGTGTATAAACGTGCGCATGCCGAAAAGAGTTCCGCGGACAGAACAGTCTGTAGAAATTGGCTGAAAAACGACTTTTACGTGCCTCTGGTGATGCCAACGTGTAAAATGCATACGAAACGTCTTTTTTTACCGAGCATCTCCAGAGACCTCTGTGTTTTTCTGCCGACAAGCTCAGCTGATCGAAAAAAAACTATGGATGGGGTCACTTTCCTGTGCTGTATGAATATGTCAGACACGGAGAAAAGCAGACTGGTTTTGCCAGCTTTGGGGTGAGCAACACCAACCTATTTCCAGACTAGTTTTGCTTGGAAAAAGTTAAGAAACCACGATGTTTTAATTGCGTGAACGTGGACACACTTCCCCTAATTCACAGAGCTAACAAAAGTGCGTGGATGACGAAGGAACTTTTCACGGAGTGGTTCTTCGAATGGGACAATCAGCTAGGCCAAAGGGGTCGAGAAATTATGTTGCTCTTTGATGGTTGCACAAACATCCACAGGTAGAAGGCCTGGAAAACATTAAAGTGCAATTTTTACCGACAAACAACCAGCATTCTTCAGCCCATGGAGCAAGGTGTGATTATGAATTTGAGAATCCGTTACAGAAAAGAAATTGTGGACTGAATTCTTTATCACATAGAAAACCAAGTGTTACCTGACCCATCCTCGGCCGTGGATCCCAGCGTCAAGATTTCTGTGCTGGATGCAATTCAGTTCGTTTTTAAAAGTTGGAGACAGGTTACCGTTGCAACATTAAAAGCTTGCTTTCGGCATGCTGGCTTCAGTCGACGCGCCTCCGATGCACTTTCTGATGATGCCGTTATCGTTGAGGGCGAGATCAGCGCTTGCACAATCCCAGTCATCAATGCAAACGAGTTCGTCGCCATTGACAACGATGTGGAATGTACTTCAGATCTGACAACTGTGAAAATGAAATCGTAAGTAAAAGTTTAAGGAACCGATCAGAACGGAAAGAAGACAGCGACTCAGAGTATGACGTGCCGGATGCCTCCGAGAGTAACAGCAAGCAGGGCGTGTCGCATTCGAGAGCAAAGAACTGTGTGAATGCTCGGTATAGCTGCGGACTTCTGCGTGGGCTAGGCAACGATTTCTTGTCTAAATTGGACTTCATCATTGCGAAAGTGACTGGAGTAGCAGGTCAAATAATGTACAACTGACGTTGCATTGTCCTCAGCAAAAATATACAGTAGCGTTAGTTTCTAAGGCTTTCCAGGTAAGATGCTCTATGTTATAACTTTTAAATTACAGGTCATACTTTTCTGAATAAACGTCTTTTGTAGGCTTTGCTTACAATTATGTATTTTATCCTTCTTAGCACTTCACAATTCAATTAATATACCGTACAATAATCCAATAGTTGTTTCTCTTCTGAAGAAATGACAATATCGGTTAATTGCCCACCCCGCTTTATTGTCTGCTTTTGAAATATTCCGATGGTGAGCACTAAAGCGTGTTCGACTGTACTTACAAACGAGGAACTCATGATCGATAGGCCATTACTCGACATCTCACCAGGGCTAAGTGATCATATCACCATACTTTATAACTATGTGTTTTACGCTGAATTCCGGGAGGAACATACTGAACTAACACGTGCTATCACACGCTACACGCTCCTGGCCGATCTAGTTGCAGTAATTGATTGGGAATTCTCGAAAGGTTGCTCCTCTCGCAGCGCCTGGATTCAGTTTGTTTTACGTTTCAACACTCTGACCGTTACTGCGGGTTCGTTCCACCAAGCCATCGTCGTTCATCAGAAGCAGAACTCGAAAACACATGTCACTAAGGCATGCAGCGTGGCTCGCTTACAGAGTCCATCTTGATCCCCAAACCTGGAGGGACTAAGTGACGTGGCGCAATCCTTGTAATATTGTCATCCGTGAGGACCATGTAGATCGACAACTTGGCTTGTTACTTTACCGAAAACAAAAAGCTCCTATTTAAGCATCTTATCATCATCCGAAAGGGGAAGTACGGTATCCTCACAACACGACAGTCGGAGTGGCACAGGGCGCTAAGGAAGCAGCCAATGTTCTACGGATGCAGTATATTTCGATCCTCCAACGAGACATCCGCTACTGTTACATGCCCACATCCACATGCTGTGTTAATTTTGCGTTTTGCTTATATGATATAATTGTCTTTTCCCTATCATCTACAGCTTCCGTCGGCTACACGAATCCAGCCCTCCCTATCCATTGATTACGATTATTTCTTAATCGCTGTCTTTCACATATTTCTCGGTATGGTTGATCAATAACTGTTTCGCTTTGGACCCGTCGCATGCGGCTTATACTTCAAACTACATAGCAGATGAATGTGTTGTGGCCCCAAGGCACCGGGGCTGATTTTTTCCTATTCACTTGTAATACTCTCCTTTATTTGGATTCCTATCACGGACACCTTGCGAAGCTTGGGAGAGCGAATCAGCTTTGTGTATGCACTTGCGATGCGACTGTTCTATTTCAACCCTTCCATGACTAATGCTAAGCGGTTTTCAAATCTCACTTGGTGTTAATCGATCTTTGCTGTGTATCGCGGGATGGCTACCGGCAAGGTTACCAAGAGAACAGCCCTCACTCGGCCAGCTTCGTACTGACCCCTGAGCACTTTTATCAACAAACATAGTTTTGAAAATGTGGCCTTTTCAATGATGCTAGTTAGTTTTATACGATCACACTTTCCAGTTTGTGTCTGTTTGGCTGTATTGATCCCAAACTTTACCGTCCTATACCCATGTTCTATTCATATACGTAGCGTGCTTTGCTTTATCCTTTAGTTATTTGGACCCTTATCAACTTATTATCGCTCTTCTTGGAAACATCTTCTAAATGGTTCGTTCGAAACACTTGCCTTTTTTCGGATATGGTAAGTTGGCGTCATACTAATAATCTCTTCGTTCATAATCTCATTCGTCACAGTTTTGACCCCATTGCCATCCACTGGGAATTCGGGATTACCTTTAATAGTCATTGTGTTCCCATGCTTGTCATCTGCCTCACCACACTTATTGCGATTGACTTCCTTCTTTTGAAGATTAGAAAACAGTTATACCGTACGCAGCATTCGATTGTTTGAGCTCCGACACCTCCACATGAGATGGTGCTCTATTCAATGATTCACCTTCAAATGACTGACTCACCGGAGTGAAACCTTGTGTTCCGTTTGGAGCGTGTCTATACGTTGTCAGTAGTAAATGTACACGGGATTGCCCAACTCGCAGGCCCCTGTTTGTTCAGTACCAGCCATGATCAGTCTTATTTCTTCCATAAACTCATCACCTAGTGTATACGTTTTGCCTATCTTGGTTTGTATTTCATGCGCATGCTGGGTCAGAAACAACTAACAACGAAATAAATCATCATTATACACGCTAGCTAGAAGTGGGAAACACCTCAGCTGCTGTGCCGCAATACATAGAGAAAAAAGGAGAAAATATGCAACTGGTGCAAGCCAGCTGAGCTACCGGTAACGGATGGGCATCGTTCCGGTAAGCTACCAGCCGGCTACTATGCAGCAAAACAAATTACTATGCAAAATTATATAATGCTAAATAGTGAGATCGTGGTTAAAGGTGGAGGCTAAGGGGGATGAGGTGGGACAAAGAAACTCACAGCACGAACGCCACTGAGGTCGACTCCTAGCCATATCAACAAGTGTATCCAACCAAACTTATTCATCGTTTTTCGGACTCTAATCAGGGAGCCAAAACCCGCTTCGAAGTGAGGGCCTTCATTCCTCTCGACCAAGTCATCGCTTGGCCACCGCTCCTCTTTTTCCATCCACATCCCCGGCGCGCAACCAACGCACGTGGCGGGAGTCAATGGATTGGCAACGATGAAATAAAACTCGGTGCAATGATACTTTGTCGATTGAGCTACTAAATGTGTCAATCTGCAAGAGAGAATCTGAGTGTACTCCGTTTTTTAAACAGGATATTCACCGATCTGACATGCAATGTTATTTTGATTGTCAATCTAGCAGGAAGCCTCGAATTTCCTTGAACTTCGTTCATTTCGTTGGCCGCTTGTTACGCATCCGGCGAGGTGCTTTCTGCACTTACAATACCATAGTTTATCTTCATCGCCATAATCGAATTTTTCCAGATTGAAGCAATCGCGAGTACTTTTTCTCCCAATTCACTTCAAGCAATTGAAATGCAAGACTAAGTCAAACGGTGCAGGCAACGGCAACCGAGGCTGCGATCGGTTAAGTCGATAAAGTTTGTCGGCACCCAGTTGTCTCACTCAGATGATGAGCCTCGTGAGGACGCACGACCACATGCACTCACAAAACGCGGACGCGTCGGTCGATGGGATGCCTTTGATCACTCTCAGCGTGGTCACTGTCCGATGCGAACCGATTCTCGTTACGGCCAAGGCAAGAAGAGAGTTTACACAATTCTTCTCTACTTGCATGATTGCAATGGCCTCGGTTGTGACCAACAAACACTTTTTGGGTCTTTAGCGCTTCGATACATGTAGCGACTACTTTCAATGCGTCTTTGGGTTTAATCGGATGTCCAGTACTAGGATCGGATTCCAGCATGCCAGCGCCGGTTCGTGGGCCTCAGATACCTTACACCACAGGCGCAGGTGAACTCCCAGAACATATGACTCGGAATGAACCGAGATTCGGTCTTTGAGACATTAAGTGATGAGGGGAATACCTTCGACAAGAATGCGAACTTTAACGGCCAGATATTTCTTTTCCTGTCATTGACAGTCTTTTATGCACCGACATGATATCCCTCTTGAATGGGACTGAAAGGTGAAGGACCTTCTTTACAGTCGGTATCGCTTTAAGCTGATCTTAACCAGCGGCATGTCTGTTAGTAAGCGCGGCAGGTACCCACTGCTCTGGGATATCCTATGAATAGACTCTGTCTCAGGTTCTAGGGCTTCTGGACAGCAAATTCTTGCGTCACGATAGTACAGAAAACACCGATTCTCTTGTGCTCCATGGGAACAAACTAAACAGTGTATGTTCCGACCCACCTAGGTTGTCTTCGGGAGACCATTCTGTCATGTGAACCACCGGCTCACCGTCTCAGTAAAACATTCAAAAACGGAAGTTTGCGGTCGTTGTCTGGTTCATAAGGGGGTTTTCCTGATAGGCGTGTTGTCTAACTACTCCAGTTTGTGAATGCGGTCGATCTGTAGGTCACACACGATGAACACGTCATCCATATGATGCCGCCAGAAACTTAGTGATAAGCTCTCGGATATTGAATACTTAATGCCGAATACTGTATGTTGGAATAAGCATAAATATACATCTGTACAACTCTATGGCATTATAGTCAAAATTTTTATTAAAAGTGTCTGCACTCCGTGATAATCAAATCGTCCGACAACTTCTTAGGTGACATGTTAAAATATCTGACTTACAGTTTCACTGAGCTCACAAATCTAAGATGTCATTGCTAGTGTGCAAGCCTTCTCTGAATCAAATGGTGGTGAAATGTGAATCCAACAAGGATTTGAAATGACACACAGATTTAGCCATTATAACTTGTTCAAGCAAACTGTTCCAAACATTTACCACTCTCCCTTCGAATCACAGAGGATAGGGTAACCGTTTTAAATACGTCACCACAAGCCTGTACCGCTGTCCGCATGTGTTGCATGGCGTTCCCAAATGAAGCAGTGACTTCCACATGGGGAAGTCACCTAGATGTGATATACGGTAGGTCATGATGAGATCGACTCTCACCCGACGAAAGGACAAGCTGTATACTCCAAGTTTCTTGTACCGGTCTTCGTATGCTTGGGCTGCGCCCTACTTTTACGAAGAAGAACTCAGCAAGGAGTGGCTCCAAGGCGAACTTATTACATCTCCATCTAATGGTCCATCGTGTCTTCGGTCGAATATGGACTATATGTTAAACGTATGGCGTAACACTAACTCCTTTGTCATTTGCACGGGAATACCAATATCAGTGTTGTTATCAGCCACGTACCCGCAAATAAACTTTCAGTCAAATTATTACACGAGAAAATACTTCTACCTCGAAAAATATCCTCATATTGTCTTTCGCACTCAATTCTTCCGATTTCCTAACAAGTTCAAAGGTCACTTATCCCATGCACTGATAATTCTTTGCACAGTTGCACAAACCATTTGACAACCTAATGTACGACAAAACCAGACGTAATGTTTTCGTCTCAGCTGCTTACAAGCTACATAACACCACCTGGTCCGGAAAAGCACCAGACACGTTTCACCCAGTTAGGGATCATCAGGGGTGCGCATTTTCTCGATTCCCTACTGAGGATCGAACCCATGACCGCTGGGGGCAGATACCAGCTAGCCAGCAGCTTAAGCCACTGAGCCATGGGGAACCTCGACTGGGCTGCACAATTTGCGAGCTAACTAAGATATAGCGCGTCCTATCTTCCACTGCCACGCAGGTTACGACCCTAGCAGCTGCCAGTGGCTAGCCTCCGAAGGTCATGACTTCCTCTCAATAGACGCTACGTCCATTGCGTTTGAAACTAGGAGAGGCTACATTTTATATTACTAATGATTAGGAGGATTTTAATTGTATGTTTTCGTCCCAGCTGCTCCCAAGCTACATAGCACAGCCTGGTCTGGAAAAGTGCCAGACGCGTCTCGCTCTATTGGTGCTCGTCTGTGGTGCGCATTTCCTCGGTTCCCTACTGGGGATTGTACGCATAAATGCTAGAAGCAGATGTCAATTAGCCAGCAGCTTAAGTCACTAGGTCATGGAGGATGTGGCTTTAATTAAAATCCTCCTTCTCATTAGTAAGAACCAGACGTATCGATGATCGGACGCAGTGGTATGTTAGGCTTATGCGCTTTCGGCAATTCATACAGGTGAGATGGCTGCGAGCGACAAGACATAAATTTTGTTGCCACGTTTCGCTTCTTCAGTTACTTTAGTTTCATCTTGTTTGTACAGTGCTATCCTTTTGTATCACTTCAAACATGAATTTGCTCGTATCGTACAAATGGCATGCATCTTCCCCATGTCATCGGGCTTGTCCATCTGTGCCCAACACGACCTTTTGTCTGGCCTTCAGGGCATAACTTCAGGATTGGACATTAGTTATGCTTTCTAAAGCTTCACCCGTTATCATTGTTGAAAACTGCAGTCTTCAGCTCAGATACTCCTGGTACAAATAAACCATGCTTCTTCTACAAATATCTGTCAACGGAAGATGTAAGAGTCGAATCAGTCAGTTGTTGCAATACACTTTCGAGTAGTGTCTATAAATGAACCTGCCTGCTCCTGATTGCACTTGACGGGTTGTGCCGCTGCGTCTATTGAGGGGATAATTTTGGGACTTGCTGGAGGGTTCGTTTTGGACCACTCTTTATATAAATGGATTGCGACGCACAGTCTCACTCGGAGCTATGAATCACGTTTGATGTGCATTCTTTATCAGTCCCAGAGGATGAACAAGGGTCGTCGCACTTTTTTAACTCATGGTTTGATTGTTTTTTCCAGTGCTTTGTTAAAACTGTACTTCGTCATATAGGTTGGTAATTATCCCTTGATACTTTGATACTGTCCTTATGACAAAGGATAATAAATACTGTTCCTCATTCACCCGGAAAGCAGCTAGATTCAGAGGCGAGGTGAACGTGTTCGTCAAAAGTGTTAGTGAATCAGGTTCATCTAGCTACTTGCTAGAGGAAAGGATACCATTAAACCCCAGTTTAGCGGAAAATTTAGTTGACACTTCCAGGATATTTGTTATTGCAAAATTCTTACATCCGGGCTTATGGTCGGTGTCTGGGTCCCTGAAGTTTGCAAAGAAGTGCCCAAGCTCGTTGTTGGTTTTAGGAGTGCCCGCCATGTGTTTGGCTAACGACACGCTATCTTAACTGACCTCCGCGAGCAACAATTATCGCAGCGACCAGAAGTGCATTATTGGGTTTGGTAGTTCTTTTCTGGGTGTGTCGTCCAGATGATGACGAAACCGGTCGGGTAGAGGTCAGTATTTGTAGTGCCCCAGTTTTTTCATGTGGCGGCTAAATTATGCGTCGGCTCACTCTCCTCTCTGCCAGACTCGGGCTCAAAGCAAGCGGTAACTGTTTTTAGCGTGCGGTATTTTGATGAGTTCTTGTGTTTTGCGTATCATTCCTGGAGCGATGTTCTCGTTTTTCCTCACCACATGGACACGTTCACTTTTATGGGTTATCCCTGCATTTTTATTAATACTGAGTGACCTGATTGTTTCGCATTTCTCACTCAGTTTGCGTATTTTATGGCTAATCTAGTATCTGTCTGCTCTTTTCTATGACAATGAATAGCAGCTTTGTTTCACTGATCGACCAAGTTCGTAATGTTGCGTGTCTGGGTCTCCCAGCCACATCAAAAGAAAGAAGATACACTGGATCAGCACACAAGCGTTCTGTTCTCGATTCTGCCGTTCCAGTACAATCAGCTATGTCTTAACACTCATTCGCTCACGCCACTGATAGCGTGATCAAACGCACTGAGGCAGTCACACGAATTCTCCGAGGTAGCGTAGGGCTGCCTGTTTGACCAACGATTACTGGTACGCGTAAGGAACTGACGTTGCTGGTTCACCAGCTACCACCACACGCAACAATGGAAATTTTCTGTTTGAACTGCTCCACTGCGCTGCGGCCACTAATGCACATGTGTGTGCATTACAGTCGGGTGGCTGGATTCAATGTTGCAAACGGTCCCACTCGATTCTGTACGACGTAGTGGAGAAGAGAGACCTTTTAGGCTCTTTGACGTGGAAGAGATGCAATGTTATTTTATGCTCGATATCACGGATGTTCTCCTTCAAGTCAGTTTGGATGTTTTATTTCCCATCTGACTGAAGTGAATCCCAAATGGCAAGAAAGAACAACGTTTCGGCAGTATGATCTATTTCGCATTTTCTCGTCATTGGTGAATCGAAAACGGTCAAAATTCAAAAGATATTGGTCGACATTCTGCTTGAAACAGTGGCTTTTACCCACAAGCTGCGATCGCTTTAATCAATTACTCCACGAAAATTTTACTTTTAAGAGCCAATTAAATGTCACTCGTTTTGCTTCATTTTACGGAAAATAAATAATATCTTCAATTACTCTAACCATTCAGAGAAAGAAAACACTCATTTTTGGGCAATTTTTAAATAATGCAGTAGTGATATACGTTAATGAGACGATTGATATTGAATAATCTTAGCAATTTCTGATATATTTGTTGCGATTTCGGCTAACACACAGCCTATGTCGTGCTCCTAGTTCATTCGGTTCCTTGCTTTAGTGTGTGATCTCTGTACACGAGCAGATGTCAGGTGCTTCTCATTTGTTTTAACCATTCCTTCCAAATCCTTAAATGATAGCTCCAAACCACCCCTCTGTATCGATACGTTCTAAACACTAATCGCTTGTTTTGACCTTTTTACCTTGTATCTATTCGCTCGCTCCTTTACCTGCTCGGCTGACCTATGTTCTTACCTTAGTGTTCGCTTTAACGGGATATTTTCACCCGGCGAATGACTGCTCGACCCAAAAGGTCGACGAGCAAGCCGAGAGTGGCGTCGTCTAGCTATGCTGCGTTGGAGGGTCGTATTCCTATTTTAGGTAATAAAATTTATTACCGGAAGCTGTTAAATTCACTGAGCATGCGCTAGTGATTAGTCATCGATGGCCCATCAGTTGTCCTTAGGTAGTTTGTTACTTTTTTGCTGCAAACGACTTTTTTAATTTGTTTTGGCAGCAGATTGATGACCCAATCCTCGTACTTATATTTACCCCCCATAAAATTCCATTTTACCCATTTGTAGGTGATTGCACCCAGTTTGATAACCACTGGCTTAGAGGAATGTGTCTACCAGTCTCACCAAGGCAAGGCGAGACTGGCGACGAGATCGGTCTGTTTACATAGGTTGGGTTTCAGCTGCCTGATTTTCGAAGCCTCACCGAACTGAAGCAGGCGTGCGGCGCTCTGTCGGCTGTTTATCCTAAATCATTCACGTGGGCTTTCACAAGTGGGGCACTCAAACATTGGTCGGCGATTGAACTGATGGGCGGCTACAGACTATTCGCTTCGAGCTTTGCTGACAGGCGTATAAACCGTTGAACATAATCTTACTTCCTTTCTGGTTTGGTTTCTTTGCTACTGAGCCATCTGATACTACTGTCTCATACTGCATTATAGCCTTTCAAGATTTAACTGTTGCAGTATCACCACAGTATCATCACTTGTTTCTGCTAACATTACCCTGAAACGGGATACCGATTTCTTAGTCCCGGCACGTTTGCCGCCTCTACTGGTGGGATCTACAACGGGTTTATTGTGCACACCAGTATGACCGCCTTCACTTCCCGAGGCCAATTCGTCGATGACAGTGTTGCCATGCTACCACCGACTAGCGGCTTCTAGACCTACAAGGAGCAGATAAAATGCGCACTGCTGACGATGCCCGAACGAATGAAATGGCCGCACAGTGTTTTTCCAGACGTGATGGCTCCCTTACGGAGTCTAGATTTAATTAACGTATATTTCCATGGCTTCTCTAATATCCAGTTTAACCGCAACTGTGGATACACGTAGTAGTGAATTGTGGCTGTCCAATGTCCTCATGATTTCCTCAACTTCGTAATCACTATTGTCGACTTAGTTTGTCTAGTCCATCGGTATGTTGGCTAGTTTAATGAATGAAATTTCTCTGGTTAGGCAGTCCCTCTTCTCAACCGATTGCACTTCACCATTATTTCGCTCAATTTGTCATTCCATGTGCGCACTTTCGCCTCCCCTTTTTTCATGCTTTAGCGCCTTCGTTTTCCCACTTACGTCACCGAACTTCTGACAAATATCTGGAAGGTCATTATGTGGGCTTTTTCGCTCTACGGGTTTATCACCTTCCTGTTCGGAATCAACACTGCTTTGTGCTTCTTATTTCACATATATCTCACTTCAGGTACGTCCGCTTTTAGTCGCGTACTTTTGAATTTCTTAGGCTCGTTTTTTCTACCTACACTTTAACTATGACTTTAACTATTTGCCAGTATTCTTGTTATCCGGCCCATAGCCTAAAGTTAACCAGTTTGTCTCGTAGTCTTTCGTTGCGGGTTCGAATCTGCGTAGGAGCAGGGCAACCCTTAGCCCGCTTGCAACCGGTGGTATTTGCGCGGCAGCGAAGCGTCGGTACTGGGTACCGGCGTATTGCTGATGCCTTTTCTTCTATCTCGTTGCGGGTGTGAGTGTATTGGACCCCTAGCGCGACGTCAATCAGGTGGTCCTTGCTCTCCATTTTACAGACATCATGGGTGCTTTCGTTCATCGCACTTGGTGATTTTCCGATGCGAGTGTCTAGCTCCCATCATATTGTAAATTGTCTTTCCCCTGTTAATGAGAGACCGTACCCAGAAAAGGAACAATTTGCACAATACAGCCGTCGGCCCCATTATATTTACGCTCTGCATTTTTCACTAGAAGAGTGACAGTAATCTTCTGGCATTGCATTCAGTCTCCACTCACTCGGAGTGTATCACTTTGCTCTATCCTCTAAGCCAACTTGCATGCAGGAACCCTGCGGATCACGATTGGATCAACCTTAGTTGTTTCTGTCAGTTGCCATAATCATAACAACACATGGAAACTTGTTACCTGCGCATTACTCTATTACCTGGGCCACACTGCTCGAAAGAGCGTCATAAGAGCTATCCAGCAACTCCGTAATCGCTCTTATAAGACTTTGCTCAAAAGACTAGCGGATCAATATATGATCCATTGCTTAACCATCAGCCGTGCCTTCAATTCACACCCCACTTCAGTGTTCAACGCCCACCGACTTAGACGACCACGCCAATCGATCAGCTAACCAATCCGCCCCTTTAGCCGTGTGCAGATAGACAAACATTCACGAATTTGCGACAGACATCGTCTCAGTGCTGTAGTTAGTAGCCTGCATCCCCAACGCCCTGCTGTTTTTCAAGCAACCGATGTTATTGGTTAAAACATCACCCATGAAAGGCTGACACACAACTTTATCACTCAAAGCTACAGCAGACCAACCAATCCGAACGGTGCGTCCGGTATATTTTCTTCTTCGCTATCCAATCTCTTTTCAAGTAGTTCAACTTCATTAGCATCTCAGCTCAGTACGACTAGCTAGTAGACTACTGAACAATTTTTTAAGCCTCGTTAACCTATTCTTCCCACACGGTTCGTGTTTTGCCTTTAAGCCTAATTCATTATGGGCCTAACAAAACCCAGTCTTGCTCGATAGACTAACGGCAGTGCATGTTCTGCACCACGAATCACACGTTTAAAGAATATAACAATAACTGAACCACGAGTTTGCTCCACTCCAAACGCTACGAGTATCTCAGAGCTCACTGAGGAGCAATGGTTAAAGTGGATTAAGGCGTACACAGTGATAAATCACAATATTATGTAGCGAGGGACAGATGAGGATTACAAACTAGCAGTGTAGAATGCCCCCTCCCTTTTGTGAAAACTTCATTCACATGGAGTGACCAATAGAGATCACGACTATGGATGTGGCAGCATGCACTTTTCAAGGAGCTAGAAAATAAAAGTGCCAAAAATAGAGGACTGCAGCGCTTACACAGGGTATGAGTATAAGCCTGCTGAGCTTCAGACACATCGCGTCCTAACAGATTTTCCCACCAGTCAGCCATGCCGTCTCATTTCAATATTACTTCCTGCAGTCGGTGAAAGTTAGAAGAGTGTGTATAGTTGAAAACTAAGTAAGAGAAATGGCCACTGTTCGATATGAGAAAATTACCTCGGAACAGATTCACTCCTGATGTTGATTGCATGGTCACGGTTTCATTAACTAAGGGAAGCGTTATTTCTGTCAGTTTGGTTTGAATGCGTTTCTACTGCCAGATTCCGAGCCACATTCGGCTACTTCCACTTGTCCGATATCCGGCTTGAATATCACTACTCAATGCGCCCAACCATTTAGGCATGTTCCTTGTGGTCTACTGCCTAATGTCCGATCACCTTAGTGTGCTTTGCGCCAAAATCAGCGTACGCAACCACGATTTTTATGGAGTATGATAAGGCGTTTTCTGTTCTTCTCGGGTGAGCAATTTTGAAAGCTATCGAACAACAGTTGATTCATCCGAATCGATTGTTGCATAGAGCATATACGAACAAATTTGGCTCCTGCTTTCACCATTATCGTCGTTTGCGTTCCAACTGCAAACTGGTTGCGATAACATTGCGCGCACTGCTTCCCCGAATCGATGGAAAATCCGTACGTTACCCTACACTTTAGTGCCTTGTGTGATCGTAGACTTGATGTGCCGCGAGAAACCAACCACGGCACATTAGACTCACGCACTAAATCTTCTTGCTCATCCATATATATATATATATATATATATATTCAATGTTTGAAGTTTTACTCTTGTACAACATTGTAGGTGTGTGTATCAGTTGAGTGTCCACTCTTCTGGGTCATAAGACTTTCTCCGTTTAAATCCACGTATTTTTCGTATTCATGCATAGCACTAAAGTCGATATTTATTGTGTTGTACCTTACCCCTTCACTAGCGGAAACAGCCTAGCATTGCATTACTTTGTGTTCAAAAAAACTATTTTTCACCGTTCTCCAGTCATTTTATTTTCACGTTTCAGGCTTCAGCAGTTGACCGTGATTCGCGTTTCATATTTTTCCTCGGGTTCATGGTTTTCTTTGCGCACTGTACTTTTGCTGAACTAGACCGATACACCTCTTTTCTTGCATAGTTGGTCACCCGCTCAGTTTACTGATCCGCATGAATTGCCTCACAACAGCGATCGAGATCGCATTCGTATCGGCACCAGCTTTGTATAGAGCGGGCGGTTCCGGCGCAATCGTCCCGACACCCCTGTCAACTGGCTTTGGGTATCCATGTCCTCCACTCGATGTGTGATCTTCACGCCTGCATCAACTCATCTGGTCTTGGATCTGCATTCGGCTATCACCCAACCATACGCACTCGCATATGATGCTCTCTTGTGGATCTGCCGGTCTTTATTAACCTAACCCGGGTCCATCCGGTCATATACCCTTCGTCTCAAGGCTCACTGACGAGTGTTACGGACCCAAAAGTTGACGTGTGGCATCTTGCATGGGATATTGAAAGCGATTTGTGACAGGCTTTCCGATTTCTTTAGTTTACGCGAACCATTGACCAAACTCGCACTTTGAGGCTAAGAACTTAATCTGGTAATAAGACATTTGCCTGGGGACTTCGCATTGGATCAGATCAATTTCATGGACCGTACTTCAATTGCTAGTTGTCATTTTCTTCAGGTTTTATGAAGTCGCTTGTCTTATTTCTCCCTGATTAGCAACTCATACTTTTTCCCATAACGTTTTACTTGCGTTTCTAGTGAATTCTACCAGTAGGCGACTTCCCACACACTTTGGGCATGTGTAGTTTGCTTTCACCTGTATCATGTGATTTACAAATTCTCCGTTTCGGTATATTTACCAACGGCCACTTTCACAGCCAAAGATTACTGCTTTTAATGGGGTTTCCCGAGGACAACGTAACCGTTGTGCGGATGCCGGTACTTTGGTACACATCTCGCGTATCCTGCTACACCGTGCTGCTTGATTTGTATCCTAGTACTTGAACATGGAGTTCCGTTGCTCGACACTAATCACACTCATGTGCTTTTATTTTGCCTGTTCTGGATATGAACGTTCAGTTCTTGGATTTTTTAATGCACCGGCGCCACTTCTCCTATTCGCGAAATGACACGCAGCGGACGGAAGAGCTGTAATCTCTATCCCTGAAAATTACGCTTATGTTCTACCGACCTTGGATGGATTGAGCTTTGAGAAAGCACTCGGGTCATACTTGGACGAGTAGTGAGGTTGACCTGACTTAGCTACAGGAACCGGCCCTTCTCTCTCAATTGTCTCAATTCGGTGATAGGACGGGTTATCAGATTGATCATGCGTCAGTACATTGTACATGTGGAAAAGCACATCATTCTGCGTCAGCTCATCCAAAAGTGTTTATCTATCAGATATGTCCTACGGTATACTCGTTTTGCCTTTTGTCGCCTGGTAGAACGTTCGTTCTACATTCATTCTAGCGAAAGCTGATGGCGAAGAGGCGCGCCGATTGAGCTACGTCTGCGGCGTGTGATCTGTTAGCTTGCGCTGCTGCTTCTTTTTTTGAGAAGCGAACGTCTTTCACCATTTTCCAACTTCGGAGGAGGATGTGGCGACCAAGCTTGTCCGGTCCAGGATGGGTCGCACCAACGTAGCTCAAATGGTCACGTAGACATCATTTCAGATCTCATCTCATCAAAATGAATTCAGTCCACTTTCCGCCCATCTCCTTGCGTACATCTTGTTTTCTTTAGAGGTGGGGTTGGGGTGTCCGAGGTGTGGCCCGCAGACTAAATGCGGCCCGCGTTAAAATTCCAACTACCCTGCGGCCTCATCATGAAACAATAAATTCAGGCCGAGATGTTTTTCCTACGTGTGTAAATTTTGTCATAATGTCAGGCTGAATTTGCCTGACATACTTTTACCTCGCAAAATGTGGCCGCCCTTACAAAAGCCTTGGACACCCTTAGAGTTTTCATGAAAGTGTAGCCGGCCCCAGACTCTTTTCAGGCTGCGAACCAAGCGACACTGGCTCCCATTGATTACAAACGTTGAAGGTTGTGACCTGCAACATTCATCAATGGCACCAGTATTGTTCTATCCTATCGTCAGACAGTGTATAACCGACAAATCAGGATGAAGTGTTTGAGACACAGAAACAACCGATTCCCTTTTTGTACTATCGTCCTCCATTTGTGCCATATCTCAGGTGGCACCTTGTCTGTATTCGATATATATATATATATATATATATATATATATATATATATATATATATATATATAATGGTTTACGCAAATAACTTTGGCTTCATGCAGGCATTTCCCTTCACGAATTTCAATAAAGCAAGAAGAAACAACATTTTAACAGAATTTACTGAATTCAGCAATTTCCCGTATTCTCCTCAGCTGTTTACATACAATGAGTGGAAAACAGTGCGATGTTAACAGCAAAAATTCAAAACCGTCGAAGGTCTTTCGGCTCACGTGACCTGTTCCGAGGAAAACGCAATCACTAGCCTCACCAGGGTAGGGCTAGCGTGGTCACGAAATCCGTTTGATTGCATAGATTTAGCTTCAGCCGCCGAATTGCTGTCGCCTCCGCAAACTGTAATAAACGGGGATTAGCTTGTTTGCTAACTACCCTGAAATTGCCACGTGGGTTCTGGCATTCAGCGCAGTCAAATATGTGGCGGGCAATAGAGCTAGTCGGCAGCTTCGGACCCTTAGCGATCATGTTTCGCGGAACATGCTCTGCAATCCTCACTGACAGCTTTCTCTCAGTTCGGTCTATGTACTTACTACCGCAAGTACAATTAAAGAGGTAAATGCATGAGGCGGTAACTTGAGAGTCCGGTCTGTCCAGGTTGTGTTTACAGAGCAACCTTCTGACTTGATGTAATACCACTAGCTCAACCGCATGGTAACACTTCTTAATTGATTGACGAAGGCGATGCCGGCATCTTCGGTCAACTTGATCTCCTTTGAAGGGCAGTGTAATGAATACTTTTTTCTTTTGGACATCGGTTGGTGATTTATCTCCGGATCGTATTTTCGCGTGCCGAGCTATAAATCGCGCTGGATACCCATTCGCTTGTGATGTCAAGGTGGCTCGTTCTAGTTCACGTTCGATTGTGTCTAATGAGCAAATTTGGCGAGCTCTAGCAAAAGTGGTACGTATTAGAGCCCGTTTATAGTTCATTGATCAAAAGCTATTAAAGTTCAAGTATTGCCCCGTCCATGTTGCTTTTCTGTACGCAGATCGGACGAGTGTACCATCTGGCTTTCTCTGTAAGTTAACATCTAAGAAGTAGAAAGGTCCGTCGGACTCGTTTTCCATTATGAACTTGATGGCTGGATGGCATATATTCATCAGTTTCAGTAAGTGCGCCGCCTGTTGAAGTGTATCAACGACGATGAATGTGTCGTCTACATACCGGCAATAAAGGTGTACATTTTGTAGGTAAGAAGCTAACACAGTGTTTTCCAAGTGGCCGAGGAATATATCAGCCAAAACTGGTCCCAATGGACTGCCCATCGCCACGCCGTCGATTTGTCGATACAGGGTTCCATTGGACCGGAACTGAATATCTTTTGTGCATAGGCGCAGTAATGATTTGAGCTGGAGCGCTGGGAACCCAACTTTATCAGCATGTCTGGCTATTATATCTAGTGTTTCTTCCAAAGGTACGTTCGTGAACAATGAAGATACATCGAAAGAAACCATGTGTTTTCCCTTTACACTAAAATTACTTATCTTGCTGACAAATTCCAAAGTGTCTCTTACACTGTAGCTCATCAGTTCCCTCCGGATGGGCTCAATAAGTTTCGCTAGCCATCGCGCTAATTTTTGGTGTGGGGTGTCTACCCTTGAGACGATTGGACGTATTGGGAATCCTTCTTTATGAGTTTTCGGTAAGCCATACATGTGGGGAAGTCGTGATCCGCGAGGGCGTAACTGGGTCATCGTTTCGGCATCCATCAATCCGGCCTTCACTAGCTTCTTCAATTCACGGACTATTAACTTCTCTGTCTGCTCGGTTTTGTCTCGGTTTGTTACATCCTGAACTAAACGACTAGAATCCGCAAGGATTGATTGGGCTTTCTGAATGTAGTGTTGCTTTTCCAAAATCACAACTCCTGATCCCTTGTCTGGTCGCAGTATTACAAGATTTTCATTTCGCCGCAGTTGCATCAAGGATTCCCAATGATCCTTCGTAAGGATTCTGCACTTTTCTTTTTCACTGATACAGAATTGGTTAGCCAAATCCACCATTTAGCTCTAAACCAGCCGCTTGCATCCTCGCTGACCGGTGTTAAACTAGACAGTTGTTCGTACAGATGCTCAAGCTGAGCTTCATTGACAAGATTTATAAAATTCCTACCTTGCTCAGTCTGGCACGCCGTTAGCTCATCATAATTATTCCCTGCATGCATTATCTAGCGGGTGCAACGATTTAGCTAAAAGGATTTTCTCTGAGGTTGAGCATCTTACCCTACACGTTGGGTAAACCGCCCACGCATGTGGGGTATGATGCCCACTGGTGGGCATCTTACCCCACCCCGTCCCTAACTGCTTAAGAATGCACACACAGATATGCAGAAAACTATTGAAGATGAGGCTATAGCATGGCACATACAGTTGACAATACAATGTAAACTTTAAAATTACAAGGCACAGCATATCTAGTTCGGGAATGCTCTGACTCGTTAAATAAAACCAAATATTTAATAAGCATCGTCTGATTCACAAGTCGTGTACACATAGACTTTATCAATTTTTCCAGTGCAATTCTCGTTGACCCACATTTGGAACACAACGCAGGCGACCCACTTTCACCAGGTCGACTTCGAACAAATTCTTCCCCACAGACCAAGCAGGACCATTCATCGGACTCCTGCGATGGAGAGGATCGTTTTGTCTTCATCATATTACTGGGCTTGCATCCTTGCTGCTGCTGCTTTGCTTTCTGATATAGTGAACTTATATAGTGACTTCGTTAATACTTCAGCATCTTCACCACTGCGGCATCCTTTCTGCTTTCTTGGGATCATTGCTTTCGGGGGTTATGATCTACAGATACTGAAGTTGGAATGATAATACTACATTCGGCGGAAGCATCTACTAATGCGGAGTTCACTTGGGGTGTAGTTGAACGCAACGAGACAAGGATGATTTGATCAGCATAAATATCCTGTGGCCCATTAAACTGGGCCGCAACGAACTCATTCTCGTTATAAAAAAACAGAGGGATTAAATAGCTACAGCATCGACGTCTTGTTCATGTTCACTGTCAAACGGGATGGCAAACTTGATGGCTGCTACTGCCAACTCTGTGCCACACATACCAATATAACTTAATGTTTCTAGTTGCTAGTTAACCCCTCCCCCCGGGCGCAGTGCACTTGAATTCAGCGTCACAATAAATATCGTCCGGGTCTGACATCACGTGCCTCATGGGTGTAACAACCTTCTTACTGGCACGCGACTGCTTTTGCAGTGCGCTTTTTTGTTGCTAACTTGCCTATTGTTCAACTACTCCACACAACACTGTTGTGATTCTGAGATTGCGTCAGCCTTGTGAAGTGGTGATATTGTGGCGGGCCCATCAACCTGCGTGCTTACTTGGATCTCGTGATCATGCATGGATAGTGTTCACGTCTTGCGATGTTGTGTCACACCACAGTCCTATTCACTTTTTGTTTTGATGTTGCCCGTTACCATCGCTTAGGTTGTGTACCTATTAAAAATTGTGTTTATCCGTTTGCCTTTTCTTTATCCGTCTTACAGATATGTTGCTCACTTGCCTCCTATACGTTTGCGGCCTGTACTTCGTAGCAACAATCCGTAGACTTTGCGGCTACAGGGGCTTTCCTGTGAGCTTCAACAAGCATAATATCCGCACTTCTATCAGCTGAATCATATTCCACGTTTTTTCCCAAATTATTTCGTACTATTTTTACACTGTCCGAGCATGCCTTTGAGGGTAGTTGAATTTCGTCTGTAAATTACACCAACTGGTCTTTTATCGCATGTTTTTTAATAAAACGATGTCGGATTTTTCAATCGTCTCCTACATATATCCAACTGACGTGATTTCGTCTGTTCACTCCCCCATTCAAGTTTTGCCCCCGTAGCGGATGCTAATGTACTGTCACTGGAGGCGATATGATGATGCTTGATGGCCTGCTGACACTAGCTGCTGCCAAATGCTTGTGATCCGTGGACACTGTTTCCTTCCCTCAAGGTTCAGTCCCAGAGGCTCTTTACACTAGTAGTCATTCAGCTAACTAGTTTCTTTCCGATCACTTTGGTTTTCACCACATAACTCCGTGAGGGATCTGAATCAGTAAGGAAGTTATCGTCTGCAATGCACTTACTCTATAACTTCACTAGCATAAAAAAGCATCAGCACTATGTCGGTAAGCACTCCTGACTCTTCGCTGCTGCGCAACCACCGACAGTCGCACATTGGCTAAGGATACTGCGAGGGTCGCCCAGACCATACGCAGGCTCGAACCCGCGCCCTCAGATTACAAGGCACGTTTGTGCTCCTTAAAGTTACAGGTCGGCATATGATATTTCGAATCATTTCAGAGAAACGACACAGCAGATCGATAGGTTTGTGCAATATAACTCCTTCTTCAATGGGATTCGCTTGTTTAGAACCTGCTCTAATAATTTTGATCTAATAGTCTACCCATACGTCGTTTCTCGCACGTCACCGACCATCATAAGGAAGACTCACCCCGCAGAACATGCTTCTAACCTTAAAACGAGATTGCATGCACGGGTCAGCACATAGCTGTCACTTCCTCGCGTTCGATTTCCACTTGACGATATGTGCTGTTATCGTTTCGGGTGTTCGGTCGGTCTAGGATTTTTACTTGCTTCCGTACAGTGTATCATTAACGTCATCCAAATCATGTCTCGCAACGAGACTGTGTATTAATTTGATGTGATGGTTTGCTTACCCTCCCGACCCATTTTTGATGCATCCGGGCACCTTAATAGCTACTGCTCTCAGGTTGGTCACTGTAAAGTAGACAAGCGAAAGCGGTCTGCTTTTGTCTCCTTCCGAACACTTTCATCGGATTCTCACACACCTCATTTGATTCACATTCCTCTCTCAGTTTTTCGCAGCGTGGTTGGTAACCGCAACTACAGTTCTGCCTCAGTTTTATCCTCTGAATCCATCTCACCGCAATACCATACTACTTACCACCACTATTACCCGGTTATCAGAATGCGCTGTCTTGTGTTTATCTGTCAGCGTTTCACGTTCGTTTTCTAAGACTGGTCATCTGACTACGCTTGCACGCACACCGTATACCCTCGATATTCACTCACCCTGCGTGCCCTTGTCAAATCCTCTGGTCTGTACGCTATTTCTGTAAACCACGGTCCTGTTGCTCACAATCTACCGATCTCAGCCTTCATACAAAAGCTTCTTAAGTGAAAACAGTACAAGTATTCCGGGATAATCATCATCAGCGACAGTACATCAGCCATTTGGGCTGATGCTTCGCTTCCGTAAAATCACAATGGCCTGTAGGATGACAAATAATAAATGGAAGGTAATCGGAATCCGGCGTAAGACTTTAATGTCTTAAGCATACTTTCGGGGTCAAAACGACCACACCTAGTTAACGGCTTACCTTTACAAACAGCTAGCTATTGTGCAAAGATAGACGGCATCGACAACACAGCTCCATGTCATAATCAGCCATTACCTCGCATATAACTCAGCGCCTAACACACTTTAACATAGCAGTCTGACTAGGAAACGAGAGTAGACGCGCCACTAGTACCCACTGCAAGCCATGTCCCGTATAGTCTTGAACCCAATCCAAGGCGGGTCACGTGGACTTCAGCTTGGAAGGCGAGACGAGTCCATAACACCGTGTCTGATCGTCACTGACTTTTTTTCCCGCTGCCAAGTTAACTTTGCTTACCTTGAGCCTTTGCGTCCTCCTCGGTAAGCGGTGGCCTGACATACCTAGTACTTATCCAGGCCAACGTGACTTAGTCAGTGCCATCTGTTGTTTTAAGTAATTAACTTAGTTGTCACTATCACTCGTGTATTCACATCATCGTCGCAGACACCTTGGTACTATCCGACATCAGCAATACTTCACAGACAACAATGATCAAATACTTGAAGGCGTCTCAGACCTAAGGGGTCACGTCTCACTCCCATAAAGCAGGATGACCCTTACTGTGGCCTCATAAACACGGCTTTCTAACGCCACAGAATTTGCAGATTTGTGGCTATTCCCGCGGACGCCGCAGATTTTGGAATCACCGTGTGCTGGATTCTACTTTTGCTTCGGATTACGGTGTTATAAGTGTTTTTCTGTGTGAAGTGTGCACCAATCTTTTTCTTTTAGTGTGTTTTTCAATCTATGCAAATTTGGTGGATATTGCTGGGCTCGTTCCGGAGATCTCATTGATTGATCCAACTGCCGTCTGTGTCCGCCATCATTGATTTGTTCTGCCTTGTGATGCCATCTCAAGCTACGTGTAGCTCGTGTTCGAAAGTTGTTGGACTTAAGGGTCATGTACCTCGGTGCATCGGTTGCGATGTTTTGTTCCATATTTCGTGCATTGGCTTATCCGTTGACGTGTTCCGAAAATCTCTCGACATCAGACATCGGTTTCTCCAGGTTATATGTGATAAATGTCGCGGTTTAAGACCTCAGGATACACAGCGACCACCACCGAATACAGGAAAACTTCTCTTACGGGCGGAAACAAACCGCTCACCACCTGGAATCAAACACCCTCATGAAAATAGCTCTGTCACCTCGCCTTCCCTTGCCACTTCGCGATCTGCACCACTACCTACGTCTTCGACCCCGGCCGAGCCTCAGGTTCAATGTTCTCCATCAACTGAAGACTCAGACTCCGAAATATCGCTTCACTGATTGGTCCGTGAATTTCTCCGAACCTGTCTGTTAACCTCAGCACACCGAGGATCCATGGACCACTCGAAAGTGCAAGGGGCCACGTACTCCAGTTCAGGTGTCCCGTGCTGATAACCAACAACCCAAAATGATAAGCGCCATTAGTCCTGTTACCGCAGGTTCATCACCGATTTCGCTGAGGCGTCATGATCTCATGGTCTTTCACGCACCAGAATCAAATGATAAAAATCCTCAGATATGTTATGATCACGATGTTGAGTTCCTCCAGAAGCTCACTGATAGACTCTTGGAGGTGGGTGAAGACAGTGTGGCGATTAAACAATTAGTCCGACTTGTTCAGAAAACTAGCTAGTTATATCGACCTCTGAGAATCACCTTTGCAAATCACAATATGTGGCAGATCATATGGTCTCGTCTGTCAAGGCTAAAAGACAAAGATTCACATCCGCCGAGACTTGGAACCCGAAGATAGGGATCATTTGAAGACTGCGGTCATTGAGCTCAGACACCGTACAGAAGGTGGGACTAACCCACAAATTGTAAATTTTCGGGTAATCAAGAAGGGTGTATGGTTGCTCAGCCTTCAAGTACGTCCCGCGGTACCTCCCAGGATCTCCATGTGGCATTCTCCAGTGTGTGCAGCCTAATGAATAAACGTGACGGACTGTTCCCCTTCACTGTCTCGGAGTAGCCGGACGTTTTGGGGACCTTCAGAGACTTGTTTGAGCAAGATATTCTTGTTCCCGATGCAACCGAAAATCATAGGCTCACGGTGTTGTTCTGTTGTGCATCAAATCGTCACTATCTGGCAAAGTTATCAGCACCTATCGGAGCGAGGATAACTTATGCGAACAACTGTGGTGCTCAATTCGCCTCAGATACACAGAACTAATAGTGGGTGTTATCTACCGTAGCCCATTAAACCGTTGTTGAGGTTGGCTACCACATATACAGAAGCACATGAGCCGCATTCAGTTCTTACTGATGGGGACCTAAATTTACCCAACTTATTCTGGCCAGATGTTCGGCTTCTTCCCGGTCATGGCGACGTTGTGGCTCAAATCGCTGAAATGCTATTGAAATCGGCGCAACGCAACATGTCGTCCAACCGATGCTCATAACTCCGCACTCTACATCTTGTCTGGACCTAATGTTTACGAGCTGCGGGCAGAATTTGAATGAGGTCAGAGTCCTCGAATCTCTAGTGAACTGTGACCACTGCTCCATTATGGCAAGCATTGAACTGCCGTTACCGTATTACAGCCAACGGAAGCCGGCATCTCAATATTAAAGGACGGACTTCAACGGGCTCGTTCAAACCGCAAATCAGACTGATTGCACACCCACATCATCACCATTATACACGTTAGCTAGAGGTGGAAAACACCTCAGCTATTGTGCCGCAATACATAGAAGAAAAAGGGAGAGAAAAGTGCAACTGGAAACTACCACAGGATGCGTCGATTGAAACCTGTTAGCCATTAATGAAGAGGAAGCTTAACTCGCTGTGTACTCCGTTCGTTTTCCTGAAGTATTCAAACGTCGGGCCTGTCAAACCGCATTGGTTTGATAAGGGAGTTGAATGGTTAGCGCGGCAGAGTCGCAAAATTTGGGTTAGATACAGCATCTCGGGTTGTGATGAAGATTACACAGTGTACAGGAAACAGCGTAGCGTATGTAACGCCGCAAAGATCAAGGAACGCCGGCAGTTTGAAGAGGAGCTATCAGCCTCTTTTTGCAGCTACCCCAGCCTATTTTAAACAGTTGAGGTCGCTCTGTATGATCACACCAAGGTCACGTTCCTGTGAGCTGGTCTGCAATCCGTTTGTCGCAAGCAAATAGGTGTAGTTATGTCTGTGGCGTAATTGTACAACGCGACATTTGTCTACTTTGTATGGTAGGGCGTTTTGAACTGACCAGTTCGACACCGTGTTAAGATCGCACTGCAGCCGTTCGTGGTCGTCCGGTCCTCTAATCCTTCGCCATATCATGATATCATCAGCGAAAAATAGGAAATCGAAAGCAATTGATCTCGCCAAATCGTTAATTAACACCAAGAATACACAAGGTCCAAGAACCGAGCCTTGTGGTACTCCACACGCCACATCGGACAATGATTCTCGGACTCTCACCACTA